CCCCAAAACCCCAAAACCCCAAAACCCCTTATACCTAAATTTCTTAATAATATCTAGAAAATAAATAAAATAAATAAAAATTTTTAACTTTTTCATTATTATCCTAGATGGAAGGAAATTATACACAAAGTGTGTATACTCAAAAGTAAGGCACTGATGCTATATGGATACTAGTTTCTGCTGGGTTTATTTTCTTTATGACAGCAGGTTTCACTCTCATTGAAAGTGGGGCAGTAAGATACAAAAATAGAAGCTCAGTGCTGATTAAAAACTTATTCAATGTTTGCATATGCGCTATTGCTTTCTGGCTAGTAGGCTATGGATTTGCTTTTGGTAACCCTGAATACTTCATTGGCAATGATTAAAAATTCTACTCATCATATGGGTTTGAACAATAAGAATAGGATCACTATCTCTTATGGGTTATTCAGTTTGCATATTGCATGATTGTAGTAACAGTTTATTAAGGAGCATTAGCTGAGAGAACATAGATTGCAGGCTATGTGATCATGACCTTTTTACTCGCAGGATTTGTTTATCCAGTGATTTTAGCTTGGACCTGGGGTTAAGGTTGGCTTTTTGATAAAGGTTTTCATGACTTTGCAGGTACAGGAATCGTACATTTAGTAGGAGGGACTACTGGATTCTGGGGTGCAGTCGTAGTAGGAGAAAGACAAGCAAAATAAAGATTAAGAGTTCAGGGAGCTAAAGAGTAGCCTTTATTAGATGATAAGACCAAAAGATTAATTGGAAGAAGAAACGCTGATTTTAACTAAATTGCATAAAAGCACTCTAAGAGAAATTCTCATGCATTGATTGCTAATAACAACACATTTATTGTGCTTGGCACTTTAATTGTCATTACAGGATATATGTTTTTCACTGGGGGTAGAACTTACTCACAATTCGTGCCGAGAACAGGAGCTCCTGCAAAAATTATTCAAAATACCTTGATATCCTGTGCTTTCAGTGGTCTTGTCTCATTTGGTTTGAAGCCATTAGTACTTGGAAACTATAACAGAGCAACTAAGTATGATTGCTTGACTCTTTGCAACGGAATTCTGATAGGTTTAGTCTCCATAGCTGGAGTAGCAGATAGAGTTTAGAATTGGGGAGCAGTTTTGATTGGTTCAATTGCTGCAGTTTTTTATGTAGGAGGATGTATATATCTTGAATTTTGGAGAATTGATGATCCACTTGAAGTATTTTAAGTTCATGGACTTGGAGGTGTTTGGGGCCTCTTTGCTACAGGTTTCTTTGACAATATACATGGAGCTCTTTACAAAGGTGCCTTGAAATAAGGTCATTTCATGGGTTACTAGATCGTTGGAATAGTAGTAATTGTAGCGTGGACTTCACTAATTACTCTAATAGGCTTCTATGTTTTGAGAAAATTGCACCTACTCAGAGTTGATAAAGCTATTGAAGAGATTGGTTTTGATGTAGCTGAATTAGGTGGAGTTAGCGATGAATTCTTAAATGCTGTTAGGTAATAAATCAACTCAAAGAGGAGCGATAAGGTAGAAACTCAAACTGATGATGAGTAAGAAGATGATGAAGAATATATTAAGAAGCAACTATAGGCAAAATAAGATGATATAGTTTCTAAATATTTGAACAGTGCACCTCTTAAAGAGCTGAAGGGTGAAGCATACCTTTTCTGAAAGAATATTTAAATCAATTTAATCACACAAGTATTCAACATGATTCTACACAGTTTTGCATAAAACACAATTTTTTAAACTTCAAAATATCTTAATTAAAATCTTACCATCTCATGTTTTTAAAATACTCTTAAAGTGAGGGGTTTTGGGGTTTTGGGGTTTTGGGG